AAATTAGGATGAATTCTTTTCGGAAACCTACCAAAAAATTCGGGAAACAAACTACAAGTTGTCAGCATGATAACATGTATTGAAGAAGATAGACAATTAACTAAATTTTGGGAAGTCTCACAAACACATCCGTTGTCAGAAGATGATCAATATTGCGAACATTACGAAGCCACTACTACAAGAAATACAGATGGAACATACACAGTTAGAATTCCATTCAATGGAAAAGAGAGTCTATCAGGAGTGTCTAGATCACGAGCCGTCGCACGCATTAGAGAAAATAATGAGCATTAACAAAGAATTGGAAATCGCCTATAAGGAATTTATACAAGAATATCTAAACCTTGGCCACATGAAAATGCTTCCACATACAGAACTACAGCATCAATATATTATCCCTTATCAACCAGTGTGCAAAGAATCCAGCACTAAAACAAAGTTGAGGGTGGTCTTTGATTATTCCAGTAAAACGTCATCAGGATTGAGCCTCAACAATACCATGTATGCAGGTCCCAGATTACAGCCAGAACTGTCAGTAGTGGTGCCGCGAGACGAGACTAGACGAGACTTGGGGTTGGTCTTGTCTCGTCTCGACATCTCGAGACGAGACCGTGACTTAGTCTCGGTCTCGAGTACCAAAGTCTCGTCTCATCTGGTCTCGAGTTATACAGGGTGCCCAAAAAATAGAGTAAAAACTCTTCTCTACGTTGTGGAGGACCCTACAAGGAACCCCAGAAAAATACTTTAAAAAATCTAGTGGAATTCTTAAGAAAGTTATTTGCATTTTAATATTTCTAAAATTGGCAACACTGAAAATATCCCGTTGACGATATGTCAGAGAATTAAATTAAATACCCAATACTCAAGTAATTACCTGAAGAATTCAAAGGTGAATTTTCACATCTACCTCTTCATATTACCAAGAATAATGCTGGAGGAGGATTTTTTTGATTTAATTATTTTTCTAAGGTTTCTCAAAGGGTCCTCTACTACGTGGAGAGTTTTTACGCTATTTTTCGGACACCCTGTATTTATGGTTTTTATTTTTATATTATAACGGAAGTTCAAACTGCCACAGTGAAAAAGCCAATTAGTGAAAAATCACAGTAAAGAGCGAGGGGTGAATAGCTCTTGCAGTCGGTGTACATATTTCTCACAATCTTCACACAATCATTCACAATCGTTCACAATTTGTCACAATCGTTACACAATCTCACACAATCTGTCACAATCGTTTCACAATCACACAAAATCTCTCACATTCGTGTCACAATCTCCCACAATCGTTGCACAATATCTCACAATCGTTACACAATCTCTCACAATCGCTCCACAATCTACCACCATCTGTAACATGTGAGGTCCCTCCAAATAGTTTAATTTACTTCTTTTTCGCCCATAGCTATAAGCCAATAAGCCTGTTTGATGAACTAACTTTTGTATGCCACCTACAGCACACATTTCTGAACTCTAATTGCACTGGATAGAGAAATACTGAGGGGAATATCAATAAACCCAACCTCAAAAATGTTTGGTTGCCATTGAGGTAGTAGGTTGCTGAGGGAGAGAGTTAAAAACGAAGTTAAAAATATTTAAATTAAAAACCAAAAAGAAGTCACCTCAGATGGCTTAAGAATCCAGACCTAGATGTTGTAGAATAAAAAAGATACTTCAAAATAAATTGCACTTCATGGTTCCCTTTTTCTCTTCTACACTATGACATTATGGAATTTGAAATCCGACGGGCCAACATCATCCACTTTATTTTTTTGAATACAGCTCTTGATTTTTTCTGTATGTAGTTCTTTGCTGGATGCCTTCCTCAATGGAATGGTGTATCAAATAATCGATATAATGAACATTTCAGTCAAAAAAGTATGATAATTTGTATGGAGATACCTGTTATCTTCGTCAAACAAAAACAATTTATCCAATATTTGCTATAAAATAATGAGTTTGACAAAGATAAGTATCTCCATACAAATTATATATTTTTTTGATTGAAATCTTCATTTTTTGCCCCAAATTGACTGACCCTGTATCTCGTATGGATACCGAGATCCGCATACTTTCTCGCGAATTTGTAACACCCTGTATATGGTTCAATCCATTTTAAAAATTATCAATCATCCATTTACATTATCAAGGTTTGAGTCACAAAAAAATAACAATATTTTTTAGCAAATAAAAGCCTAATTTGATCTCACAACAAATTCTTCAATAATTTGTCATCATTTTCCTGTGTTATTGTTATTGTCTGTCACGTCTGTCTGTGATGATTGTTTTAAATTCAAACACGCGGTATATACAGGGTGTCTCCGTTCAACTCATCAAAAATGCTAGGATTTATAGAGGAACCATAGAGAAGTAGTTTGAGATAGGACATCGATGGTCGAAATTGCGTCGTTCCGAAAATACATGGTGTTGAAATTTAAACAACCTGCTTTCATAATCTGAAGGGCTAATGCTAGGCTGTTCAAATTTCCAGGGATTATTGAAGTAGAAATGACATTCAAAAATTCGTATAGTGCACCTTCATTTTCTACCTGGAACAACCCCAAAAAAAAATAAAAAAATTATTTTGAGAAAAATAGTTATTTATGCAAAGTGAACCTTTTTTCACGAATGGGAATTTTGACAATCACATGAGTGAAAAAAGGTGCCTTACACACGTATTGCATACAAAATTTTTTTTAATACCCATAAAATATTAGTATAAAAATAAACTTAGACAAATACTTTACGCGCTAGTACGTGAAGTATTTTCACTTTACACACTAGTGCGTGAAGTAATTTACCAGAAAAATACCAAATTGACAGTTGCCTACATCTGTCATTGACATTACTTTATGCACTAGTGTGTGAAGTCAATTTCTTTACGCACTAGTGCGTGAATTGACATTTTAATTTTTTTACTAATGTAAATCACTCCTAATAACAAACATAAAAGTTAATTTTTGAGCGTCATAATGAGATGTAATGTCATAAACTAGGTATCATTGTAAAGAGAATCGAAAGACCTTTCAAACGAGGTGCAACTCAACCCCCCTTTCCATTTAAGATTTTAGGGGTGAGTTTCACCCTGCCCCAGGGGTTGTAGATAAGGGTTTGCTTATACGCTTAATAAATGTCCCCCTCAAATACAAAGTTGACGTGTTTGAGCGTTTTATTTTTATATGACATTAAATGCCCAAAATCAATGCCGTTTCGTTTTCGATGGGCCACCCTGTATATATTTTTTTTCGAAATATCTTTGGGGAATTCGCCACTATACGACTGTATAAACTATTTCTCTAAAGACTATCTCGGATCTTTAAAAAACAAATATTAATTATTTTTTCACTTGAGAACTCTGCGTTTCGAAACAAGTATTCACCATAATCATAATATTAGTAATAATAATAATAATAGGTAACTCTAATTGCTAAAAGTGACATTTTATTTTGTGAAAAGGGAAGTTTTCCATGTTTCCAGTGTTCCATCCCTTTGAACAAAATAAAATCACTTTTAGCACGAATATCATACACTATTTTTTCTGCAAACGCATTAAAAGTAATCACTTTTAACACCAGTGTCATAAAATGGCATTTTAGACACTGACAGCATCCGTTAAAAATGACACTTTTAGTGACGTTTGTAGAAAAAAAATTTTAACTACGTGAAAAACATGCTTTTCCTCTGCGCCACCCTGTACAACTGCTCAATCAGAGTACTGTGTATAAGAAAGATAAAAAAACTCAATATTCTTTTTATTTATTAATTTAGTTTTGATATATTGTTATTTTACTCTAACTCAATTATTATACCAGAGTCCTCATTCTTGAAACAGGGGAGCAACGTTCCGAAGAGAACGAGTGCTTCGTCTTTCTCAATGATATGTAAATAATAATATACGTAACAAAGACGGAACACTCGTTCTCCCGGGAATGCTGCTCCCCTGTTTCAAGAATAAAGACCCAGAGCTGTTTTCTCGCGTTCACTATATTTTTGAAGATGACATAAGAAAGTCTCTAAACTGAAACATCGACCAGTGATAACATTACTAAAAGGAGCATTTTTGCAAAGGTTGCTAAGTTATTCGATCCACTAGGATGGTTAGCTCCAATAATCATCAGGGCGAAGCTCCTTATCCGAGAATTATGGCTGCAAGAGCTAAAATGGGATTATCCTGAGCCACTCTTCATTAAGAGCAAATGGGAAATTTTTCTAACAGAACTAAAGAGTGTCGAGAAAATTACTATATCCAGGTTGACCTACCAAGTAAAAAACAGTCACCTGGAACTACATGGCTTTTGTGATGTCTCCGAAAAGGCATATGGAGCCGCAGTCGACATGAAAGTCAAGAATTCCCTGGAAAAAAACAAAAATGGTTCTGCTAACAGCTAAATCCAAAGTAGCACTAGCAAGAATGAAAGTTACGTTGTCAAGACTAGAGTTATGTTCTGCCATGCTTTTTTCACATCTACTAAAAAAGACTGGTACAAACTTATCACAACAATACGCCGGGACAGACTACAATAGCACCAACAAGGATAAAAGGAGACCTGTCCAGGTGGAAGAATTTTGTAGCCAACCCAGTGGCAGAAATCAACAAACTTATTACACATCAACATTGGCACCACTTCCGAACCGACGACAACCTAGCTGATATTATATCAAGAGGGATAAGCCCAACTCTTAATTTGGAGTTAGTTAGTTAGAATTAGAGTTCTCGTCAATAACAGGTGGTTTATTCCACTCGTGAACAAGATTTTTTACTTCCAGAATATCAAAAAATCCTTGCAGTTTTTCCTCCAGGTCTTTCCGCTAAAAATATCAATTTGAATTTCAGCCTTTTGAATAAAACATGGTTTTCAAATCAGATTCGGTTCCACAATCTGAGGTTTGCGTTGTCAAATGAAATCCCTATGGGCTTTGTAAGTCTGATCGTCCTGAACCAGAATTTTTCGAAGAAAGTTGACGTTTTCATATCATAATAATTACTTGCCAGTATTACTTACCCAGGATATTTTTTCAAACGGAGCTTCTGATAAAAACCCAATGGTGGAAAACTAGAAAAAAAATACATACATTTAATTAATGAGTACTTACTGGCTTTCAAACATGAAAATTATGAGAAAATTATTAGAAAACCAAAAACTGGGATGCAAACCAAAATAAGATTTCAAGAAAAATATATTGTCGATAATCATAACATTTATCCAAAACTTCATATTATTTTGCTATAAAGGAACAGGAAATTAAGTGATAACTGACATTTTAAGACCGCATCAGAAACGACAAAAACGCCTTTAAACCTAACACCCTAAAAAAAAAACGTCTTAATAGTTAATAGACTTCATCCCTCAAGTTCCGCACGTGCCCCTTTTTAATCCTGTAGGAAAGGAGCCACCACCGGAAGCTCCGTGTTAATGTTATTGGACCCTCTTTTCTCCTTTTCCCTGTTTCTGCGATTTCCTCCGTTTTAAAGCGAACGCCATTTGATTGTAATTTTATTTTTAGAGAGGGTGCAGTTTGTATATTTTCTTTATTTAGATTTAGATTAAGTTAGACGTGTGTATCACGTTTCGTTTAACACTAGAAACTTCCTATTTTACACGTTTAGGGTTTTATTTTGCCTGTTAACAGCAACAATACCTATTTAATTTTGTTTGATCCTTCATCCTTCTGTCTTAAAGGTGCAAGCTATAACATATTAACTAGCTAACGAGATTATCGCGACTTCCTGTATAAAAAACAGAGGGAGACCTCCGATTTATTAAAATTGAAACCATACCCACAGAGTCAAAGAACTTTTATTAGCGGGAAATTCGGTCGAACGGATTATGATCCTTTTGTTTTCACATAAGAGACTTAAAATAATAATCTGGATTGGTGATGAGTTAATTGAGATGTGACAGCTTGTTAATATGTGTGTTAATTCCAATTTAAGACTAAGAAAATAGACACATGTGTTTACACAGATCTGCCTGGGTGTATATATGTTTCTGAAGATAGATATGTCGGATTCCATTTATTAAAACATATTATATTCAAATTGAATGCGTTTAGCTTGGCGTAATTCGCACTTACGAAAAGTTCCAAGATTCTTGTTCTAGTTTCTTGGATATTTATTTATTAGCAATTTTCTTTTTTGTTTTTGATCAATTTCGGTGATATTTTTGGCTCTCACGGTTGAATTTAGGACTAGACCTATTTACTACTATATCTATTCAGTTCTGAGACCGTAGATCTTTGCAGTTCTTCTCTTTTTCCTCACCCCAAGTTATTTACGAAATTACATTGGTGCGGAAAAGCCGACGCCACTGTGAACGACTGGTGCGAGAATATTCAGAAATTCGTTATGATGATTTGAGTAAACAAACACGAGAATACCTACTAGAAATGTATGTATTTGTAAGTTACAGACAGTTGAAATAAGATAAATAATTTAATAAATATTGAAAAATGAATCAGAATTAGATATTCCATTAAAGTTTTCAACGTTAAATTCCAATTTACAATGGAAATTAATCACGTAATACTCCGAATTCCCACGAAACCCCGTTTTAAATCCGACAATGCATAACATTACCGCTATTATTGTGATATCCAATGCAGTAAATTTTCAGCGTTTGTTTTCTTGGACATTAAATCGATTTTCAAACGATTCTAAAAATAAGTTTTCACAAACAAATAACGGGCGTGAATTATTATTTTTAATAATGCGCCACCGGAAACCTTTTAACTTTAACTTGAAAAGAAAGTATTAAAAATAGCCGCCAGAAAAAACTTTATGGTTGCACAAAAGTATCTTTAAATCTTTACTACCCAACATGTGCGGAATTTGAATACTGAATCTGTAACATTCGCACACCCCCGTATGTTCCCTCGTGTTCATTAGGAATTCAATGGCACGAGCCCTGGACCTTTTATACAAGGGGTGGAAATAAAAAGCAAACAGCTGTGCCATCTAGATAATAGAAAAAAGAGCCGCCTTTGCCGGCCCTTGAAAACCCGAAATGGCATTAAATTACAGGCCAAATTACTGTGTTTGGGTTGTAGGTACGCTGTGCCGATAAAAAAGGTGTGCACATTTTAATACAGTTGGGTAAATCCATCTGGAATTTGGGCCAATAAGTTTTGTCTATTGTTATTGCAGCTCAATATCATTGGGGTTTAATATATTATGCTGAAATGCTACACTATTCCTCGATCGTTTAAAAGTCGCGGACTCTTAAGCTATCGGTAATTTGTAACAAGATTATTCTAGTAAAAAAGTTTGTTTTTTTTAGGTAGAAATACTGATGGACCACGGCATTATAGCCCGGAAAAACTTTTTTACTAGATTTGACCGGCCGTGAAAGCCTTCATTCTTTATTCAAGATTATTCTACTTTAGATTTTACCATTGTCGAAAGCCCGGTTATCGTACATACAGGAATCTATCGATGAGCAGAAAATACGTTTCCATCTTCATCTCCAGGCTATTTCTAATCTCTGTTTTTCCCTCGGTTTTTCCATAACGAAATATCCGATATTTTTTTTATTTACCTATATAACCTGTATAATCCTAGTTACGGTAGTTTCCAATATACAACTAGTCAAAGTTGAAACATTTACGCGTACGCCATAACGATTTCAACTTACCAACCTACATAAGGTGCGTACGATAAGTCTAACTGACACTTTTTACCCTGACCCGTCATTAATGTCGCACTTTTCACACGATTCGTGTACCACAGGAGTACGTTCACAGTCGAACGCCGGACACTCACCGAGTGCACACCGAGCGCGTCTTTTGCAGGGTTAAGTCGTTCACGGATCTACCTAATTCACCCGGTTAAAATATTTGCTCCGTTCACAGAGCCATGATAACTTTACCCGGTTGTACAACTTTTTAACCCACTCTGAGACATGGGTAAAATTTGTCGCGCAGGCGTTTTACAAGAATATTTGAAATTTGATAAACAATATACTGCATAATATAATTGCAAACTGATGTACAAAATTATACATAAACAACAAAAATGCAACTCAGGGCTAGTTTTTCAGAATGAAATACATACTTACGGCACAAGATCAGAGAACAATGTTTATATTGGCAATAGCAGAATAAATATTGGTCTTCATTCCCCCATGCATTCTGCATCTAGGAGTTATAATAATTTACCTATTAATTTAAAAGAGTTACAAAACTTTAGTCAATTTCATAGGAAACTCAAAATGCACTTAGGTACTAATAAGTAACTTAATAATAATATTTGTTTTCATAGAAATATTTTAAAAAAAAAATGTTTGTTAACTTTAGTTAGATTTAGCATCACCATTTTTTTTATTAATAATATATTCTTGAGACCAGTGTTTTAGAATGTTTAAGATTATGTGTAATATGAATGTACCATAAAAAAAAATTGTGAATAAATGGTTTAAAAAAAAAAAAAACTGTTGGTAATCTTTCTAGGCCATACATTGCTGTCTTCAAATGGTTTTCAAGTTTTCCAGGAAGCCAGTTGAAAGCCTCTCTGGAAACTCTAAAATTTTCCTGGAACTCCTTATCGCTATAATTGCGTATTGTTGCCATAAAATTGTCCTGTCTTCAAATATGCCCTTTTTCAGGCTTGAAACTTAAACTGCTAGCGCTAGCACATGCAGCTTCTGCTACAGCATAGCTGACTTGTTCGTGTGTAGCAGACGAATCCGAAGAAGTTTCAATAGTACTTTTAAATAATATTATTCCCAGATCCATCTCGAAACATTCGAAACACAACGTATGTAAACAAAAGGAAAAAAAAATCAAATCCTACCTCGTTATGGCGCAGGCGTTAGTCGTTCACGGATTTTTCATCCCAAGCGCATCCTTTTCAACCAGTGAAATATTTAACTTGGTTAAGTTTTACCCAGGGTAAACCACTGTGAACGCGCCCCAGAATACAGATACCCAAGTAGCGTCAGTAGCGATTGTACTAAAAGACCTTCAGAATAGGGAATTTTCATATTTCTTAAATTATTTTCTTTTAGATACTTCTAGTGATCAGTTATTACATGGTTCTCTTTTTTACATTTTAATTTATACGTTCTACGAAAAAAAAAAAAATATTGAAATTCAAATCAAAAACTTTGGCGCCAAAACTCGAAATCTCAATATGACAGCGCTTGTGACGTTAAGATTTTGTAAACAACGAATACGCAGTAAACGAACTCTTGCTGACGCAGTGCTATTTTTGTGTTATTCAAGTGTGTTAAAGTTCACTTTTTGTGAAAATTGTCGCAATGGATGAAGAATATTGTAAAGGACTGCTTTTGTATTTTTTTCTTACTTGCATTTTCCCCATTGACAGATTTGTTTACAGAATCGTGACGTCAAAAAAGGTAGCCATCATGGAAGCATTGTTTAGGCGGGAAATTTTTTATTTCTAATTTAGTATTACTTTTTGTGTACCAAGGACGGTATCAGTTAGATAAAAACTGGTCATATAAATATTGTGCAGTATCGATTTAAAACAAATTTGGGAAATTTTAGTTCAAATTTGGGAAATAGTTCACTTGCAAGTTCCCTATTAAGGTTTTATTAAGCATTAAGCTAAAATTCAGTACAGATTATTCTGACAATAACTGACAACATGAACTTGACCATAACATAACATACAACATAACAGATAAATAAATAGGGAGCACAGTAAATAAGGTAATGAGATGAGATATACAACATTCTTCCTTTTGCTGTAAAAGTACTGACCGTCTAATAGGCCGACTAATTAGATGCTAATGAGGAATTTACAGATTTTTTTTTTTATTTTCTTATTAAATTTTTCACATTGTAAAAAGTCACTTGCTACATAAATTTTAAATTTTCAACTAATAGTTTTTCTGTAAAAAAATATAGAAATTCAAAATAACTCCCTTCGCGCCAAAACGCACTCATAAATGAATGACGTCACAAGACGGTATCCGTCAAAACGAGTCTCTGTACTCCCTCTCTCTCTTACACATTGTGTTTTGTCATTGGTTTATGCGACTATGTCGATCATTGTCATTTTCCATTCACTGAACAAAGATAGTGTTACGTTGAT